AACTGCGGAGCCAGTAACATAGGCAGAACTAACCGGTCTTTTACTTCCCGAATGAAGGAACAAGTGTCAAGGTGAGTTCAACGTGAGACTGACCATCATCCCTGCCCCGCAGAAGTTCCGTGCTTGTGCAGGCCAACACAGGTAAAAACCTACTGATCACGCATCACCGGATAGAGTTGGATCAGCGTTCACACCTGTGTTACTTTACCATAAGCCCTGCTTCCTCCGTTTCTTCGAAGCTGTCGCGATAAGCCGGAAGAAGCCGGTCCTGTGTGTTCAAAAGCAATTATTTGCCAGCTTAAGATGGCCGTGGATATAGAGTGGAATATCCGTCATCCATTTTGCACCTCAAGCTTATTTGTCCACACTCATAGTTAAGTACACAGTTGCATACCAGTTATTGTTAGTAGTACTGAGGGGAAAATACGAAATGCATGCATCTACCAGCTTTGGTCTTATTACCATACTTTTCTAATTGCTAATGAGAACTAACTGCATTAATAATAGAGAAGCAATGCATTCAAAATTTCCTCTGTGCTAGGCGACGAAGATAATCTCTGATTAATAGGTGTTGCATAAATTCATGTACATTTGTTTCCGTTTTCTGGCCGACGAAACAGTCATACCATGTTCCACCGATGCATCCGTGTTCCTTAAAATGCAATCTGCCGCCATATATCACAGTGTTAAAATTGGAATGATCATTTGCCAGTACATGGTACAGCAAGTCAGAAGGGCTTCTTTGGTTGACTTTTACTTTAGCCTCTTCCATTGTGTATGCAGATGTTACTGTTTTCCTTCTAAGCGTCGATTATTATTTTTCAACGTTGTTCACTGCTTCTTACTCTCAATAGACTAGGGCATGCAGGCACGAACGATGCTTTGTGGAAATTACGAGATCAGATTCACACTTATTGTTTGTATGCTATTTTGTGATTCGAGAGCGCATCCGTTAGCAGCGCGCTATGCTTTCATTCTGCCAAGTATCCTGACCCTTGCTCAAACCAGATATGTGCAAGTCCCTGAGTAAAGTATGAGAATATTTAACGTGATGTTTTACCAGGAGAACACCCTCGCTCAGGTCATTTGTAGACCACTAGACAGATATTTGTCGATGATTCTATCATGTTGACAACAATCCAACGCTTCGCGCTGTCACGGCCTCTTTGCTGTCCGTTACCAAACAAAGACTTAAAGAAAAACCCACAAAATACCCAAAAATCAATCGAAAATTGGCCGTTAAACCAACCTGAAATGATAACCAAATACGCGATAATTCACCAAGTTTGGAACCACCATGGCTTCACAATCTTGACCTTGACATTCTTTTACACTTATTCTCTCATCAAAGAGTTGCCCTCCACCGCCCATCCAATAGGCTAGCTTCTGACACTCAAACAGAAATATCAGCAATTTGTTTAATTCTTATTGAATAAGAAATTGCATGTGAAGTATATGGTCGCCTAGAGTTTCGGCTTGACAAAGGCCTTTGCCGAACTGCATCCAAATTCGGGAGGAGTATAGAAAAATGTGAGCCACATTACTCCCCATTGATTCATGTAGAGTTAGTAGCCTTCCATGTGCATGTGAATATGTTAACCTATATGGAAAAGCTGTAACTATAAAACGTCTGCCAGTTGTATCATAGACATTATCTTTACAATTCTTAGCAAAGGCTGAGCAACTTAAGTGTCTTCTAGGAGGTCATTTTTCAGTCAAGAAAGTGTGTTCAACTATCTAAATAAATAGTTTTATTTGCACGTAGACACCGAATTTAAAGACTGAAGGTATACCTGATGGTTACTACTATCCCACGAAACGTGATAACATTTCAGACAGAATAAACTCTTTGTCTGAACTGTAACCGCATAGGATTACTGTTACAATAAAAGGATCCTATGTAACCCATGTCATGTGCCAGATTTCAGGCTTGATATTACCAATCTCTTAAGCGCTGCTTGATACAGAATTATTCTCACTAAGAATTCCCTGCTTACTCTTGCACCTTTGACGGTACCTAGGTAAGTGTCTCATGTCCTGGGAAGCAGTTATCACTATGCCACCGAACACAGTATCTGCACCAGCTATGAATCCATGCAAATTAATTCGACGCGTATTTATTTTCATAAGTCTCTTACTACCCTGAACCGACATACTATTTGGACTAGAAATCGGGTTCAATAACTACACTGGAAAATAAATTTGTCAGTGCCTTATTGCCAAATAGAAAATAAATCCCACCTGTCTTTTGGCAATAGATTCAGTTCTGTGAATGTGCCATTGTGACTGGCGGTAAGAATGAGGTGGATTATTTTCGTATTCGCCTGGTCTGATGATGTTGTCTGGTGCACGTTGAATCCAATGTTGCTCTTGATTCGTGTTCGAATCCGATACCCACTAAGACTGCTTCCAGAGCGTGACAAAATTCGTTTATCAGTGTGGTTCTGGTGGGAATATAGATCTTCATGCTCCTCTCCTACACCGGTAAGCTCAGTGGTCTGTCGATGTTCACTGAATCTCACGGCTGTCGAGTTTGCTGGGGGATCGGTATTTGGAAGCCCGAACGGTGAATCCAGAGGACACGTTGATAAGGGCTGAGGCAAATTGCATGACTGTGGGTTAAGACTTCTGTTTTGCAGGTCACTTAGATGTTGTACATCAGCTTGAATTGCAGCACGTTCACAGTAATCTAGCACCACATATCGATCATTCCTCGATAAAAAGAAACATGAGTATGGTAAGGGACGTATGTTTTTCACGTGAAAAGATCTTTGTTAGATGGAAACATAACAGCTATCATATGTAGGGAAACCGACAAACATGTTAAACGATGAAAGCAAAGTATTAAGTTCAAATAACTGTTACACTATACTGTTGTATTTGCGTGAATTGTGGTAACCAATACAACGGCGATGAAGAGGTTTGCCTGCCTCATAAATAGTAGACTGCTTATAGAAAAGAGTGACGTCTATAAAGAAGCTTAGGTAAGGGTAAAAGATCTTACATTCCTTACAAGTGAGTTACAGAATTCCCTAGCATTTTATAAAATGCCTCTAATCTACAGTGCGTTTTAAAGTGTGGATCAAGTCAGCACAAATCATGTTTGTTGACATGGTCATGTAACAACTTGGAAAGCTCCAAGAAATCCCGTCTACTTTAACTGGAAAGGGACCAGTAAAACTTCAACTATTTGCAACCAGGTAAATGCCAGACAGCTACTTTCTATACTGCACAATTCCAATTAGTGTTCCATCAATTTGACCTGTTCACTGAATGATCGAAGTTATAACTACCAGCTGCTTAGGACTACAGGAGCAGTAAATGTATTGAAAATGCAGAAGCCACCGTTTCCACGATGCTAAACTATATGTTGTCAGTATAATAAGTGTTACTGGGGGCTAGGGGCTTGTTGGTATATATCCAGCATTGCGAGCGCACTGCTTTGCATTCTATGGAAGACTGTCTTCTGCAACCTAGTCAAACTTAAATAGTTGCAGTTTAGCAAAACAACAACCAAAGGTGGGTATAAAAATCCGCTTGTGGCCAAATTCAGTCGCACTTTAATTGAGATTGACTGTTGCGAAGAATGTACTACATGCAATACAAGAACGGACCACACTGGAGCAATAATTCATTTGGTCGCATTTTGACCTAGACGAATTTTACGTTCAAGCAACATTTTAAAAGCTGTGGTTAGGTAATTCATTTGGAGTAAATCTACACAAGTATTTGTATGGTAGCTACGTTCTTCTAGTTAAATAGTATGCCAGTTCTCATCACGTAGGTTTAAGCAGAGTGATACCAAATATCCTAGCCTCATTGTCAGCTGACAAAAATGTATGATATTCTCAGCTATTTTACGGCAATAATCTATGCATCGGATTTTTGAACCAATACAAATTGCTTTTAATAATCAACATCAAAAGGGATAAATATCAAAAATAATCAAAAAATATAACTGAATAGATCAAATTCAATTTCGTGCTTTTGCATCAGACACAGACATGGTAACATGGAATCGAATGATGTCCGAATGGTGGGTTGCGTGCTAATGCGGTAGGCATAATGTAGTTTTCGAGGGGGCATGTTATGCCTCTACGTCATGGTCGCATCTGAACATACAGTGGTCCGGTTGACATTAGTAATGTAATTCAGCGATATTATATGTATTTTCAAAGAATTGCTTGCACGTTTCGCAGTGAACTGCATGATGCAGCCAATTTTAAAAGTTTGATTTACCAACAATAGTTTTTGGGCAGCTTTTACCGTTCCATTCTTACAATATTGTTAATGAAATGCATAGTAAAGCTGTTAAATTCTAATTCTTTGAACAACAGCTAATCTTTTCCTATTGTTTAGATTGTCTCGAATTTTTTCAGTATATAATACAAAAAATTATCCATATATTTCACCCTTCATTATAGTGAACATTCTCAGCGATTCCTAGGGAACCCTAGTCTGAGATTAATAATTGTTTTCAATGAGTAGTCTTTAGGCGGGCACAAACCATATATGGCTAAAACACAAAGGAATGATTAGTTATTAGATGATAGCTTTGTTCCGAAATAAGCAGGTTAATGGTTTGGAAATAGATGGGTCTTGCTCTGCTCAACACTGGCACGCCAGTGTTGGGAAGAGCAAGACCCATCTACTTCCATTCCAGATACCTTCCTCGAGATCGGAAAGACCGAGGTTTACCTCAAAGTGAACGAGGTCTCTATAGATGTTGCGAGTCGCAACCCAACCACACAGCGTGTTCCCTTAATTCTGCTTTGAATCAGGTCTATGTTGCTACAGCAACTATTTAGCCTTTTGCTTATTGCTGTGTACAAAAACACACGGCCTTTTCTTACGTTATACATATCGTTATTGGTCTACCGCTGAAGCAACGTATCTTAGTCGAACGGCTCGTCGATTTTCAGTATGCCTAAATGGTTCATGAATGAGCCGCCGGATTTCTCAAGCTGTACTTTGTCTCATGTGTTGGAATCAGGTCAACGCGTTAACCTCCCGAAAGAATTTACTGTGGTTTCTCAGGTTCCCATGAGCCAATCAAATGTCTACAGTTACCAACGCTAACCACTGCTGAGGTTCTTGGGATCCAAATAATCTAACCACCTGTTTACAAAAAACTTTGCCCAATCTCTCTATATGCTATAGCCGAACAGCCACCAGTCCAGCCGTCACTCTGACATCGGCTCAGGTATTATGGTTACGTAACCCTTGTTCCATCTGTGTGAATGAGAGATGCGAGCAATTTCCCGTCTAACAATCGAGCTACATATTGAACCAACCGCTATTCATTCTTAACGTTAATTTTGATGTTATATGACGTTATATGTTATATGATTTGTATTGTCTCTTGGATGAATTAGTGAAAACAATTTTCTGCCCCATAATGCATTTCACTGTCATGTAAAATAACATTTCTTCCATCCATCTGGTCACCATGTGAGCAGTTTGCCCGTATGAGTGGGAACGTTTCTTGCTTGATCTTATACGCAGTTGTAAGGTGCGATTACTATTATTAAGTGCCATTACTTAAGGTGCACTATTCTCACCCGAATCAATGCCTAAAATGATGGTAAAATTTTTCCGTTAAACACCTCTGCCTTTTCGTTAGTCATGAGCAATAAGTCAGCTAGCAATGGGCGAGATAGACTACCCCCGACACACGTTCTTTCGGTAGAGGTGCTTTAGCGTAAAGTCAAATATGCTACAATATGTGCACAGCATGAAATATTTTCTACAAATATCCTTAGGATAATGTGAATGAACGATATTTTCTGATAAACTGGCAAGGATCGCCAACCGACTAGTGTAAGGAACATGCAGGTGAAGAAATGGCAAGTCGAATGTAGTTGCCTGTCTGACTGAGTATATAATAATAACAAGGTATATTTCTAGTGGTACCCAGAAACCGAGCCCACAAAGGAGCAAAACATATATATGTGTAGCAAATAATATAATAGTTTTAAAATAGTGAAGGCCAAACTAACTGCTAGTAGCTCGCTTTCTGCTTTCAGTTGCTGTAGTGTTCGCCGAAATCATGAACAATGAACACTGATTTATAACGGGTAAAAAAGCAGGTGCTTGACATGTCCGGTAGGGTGTTTAGAGTGAAAAAAGGTAGATCAAGGGATAATGGAGTCGTCAGTTCGGGCGATTACAGATTTAAATGCACTGTCGTATAAAGGGAGTTGGAAATGAGAATGTACGCACACAAAGCAAGAAGAGGAGTGGTTATTGATCACATAATAGGTGAGAAAAAATAAAAAAGATAGCAAGGACAACGCCTACTCGTGGGCAACTATCTTGGGTTGACAGGATATAGAAATCCAGTTTCTATAGTAGTAGCATTTGTCAAAGTTCGTGCAAGTCGTTTGGAGTGACTCATTCTCGAGTAGGGTTATTACACTATCCACTGTCTGTCGTGCATTAGTGCCATCAGCTGGTGGTCATGGGCTATACCACGTAGTTTAAAGGTGACAGGATATCTTCAAGGCGTTTTGAAAAACGGATGGGGTGGTGCATTAATTACATGTTCCGGGAGGGCGTTCCAACGCTGTGACACTCGAAGTTCGAAATAGTTTCGCCGACATTCCAAGCGGCTATACTGCGTGACTAACTTAGTGGTGACCTCTTAGCGGGGTGTTTTGACTGAGTATTACAAGGGAATGGCATGGGTGGTAGGGGTTTCTCAGGATCTGGTACACCTTTATGAGAACGCCCCTTAGACGCCGATAACGTCCACTGTATATTTTGTGGGTCATCTGCCTGAGTGGCTAGGGGAGGCTGGTCAAACCTCTGACGCTCTTCGTTGCCCTACGTTGTGCAGTATCGAGCGCGGTGAGATGGTGCTTGAGCCAGGGTTGCCACGCTTGAATAGCGTATGCCGCGTGCGGCCTCCTGTACGAGCTAAGCATTTTTGGAAAGACTGAAGGGTCGATTTTCCGAAAGCTCTGCAAAGAAGGCCGAGGTACTGGTTTGCTTTCTTAGCTGCTTTTTCAGTCTGCCTCGAACAACCGAGGTCATCTTGAACTTTCACGCCGAGATCGCACTCGTGAGAAGCCCGCTGTAGAATTTGCGGTTCTAGGCGGTAGTTGTGCATACTCTTGTGTCGTATGCTGAGAAATTTGCAATTGGTGACGTTGAAGTGCAGCATGTTCTCGATGAACCATGTGTATGCTTTGTCCAGGTCCTCCTGTAAGACTGTGTGATCCTCCACTGCAGCTATGTTACGCCATACCTTTAGGTCATCAGCAATTAACTAACAGTTAGAAGATAGCACGCTCGCGAGATCATGTATGAAAACCAGGTACAGGCAGGGTCTAAATACCGAGCCTTGAGGTACGCCGCACTGAACTTCGATGAATTCCGACAGGTTGCTTCTAACCCTCACATTCGGGTGACGTTGCACGAGAAAGTCTCCTATCCAGCCCAGAACAGGATCAAGTGAAATTTGCTTGCAAGAGGATAGGAGTTTTAACTCACGAAACTATTGTTTCTCGACGGCGCAAGGTGTCAAAAATGGTATCGGGCTTGAGGTTTGTGCTTTCAGAAAGCATTGTCTGTATTGTTTAAGAGGCGATGCTTGAGATCAGTATACACATAAAAGCAAATATAATTGGCCACCTTTAAATTATGTCTCATACTTAATGTAAATATACTAATAACTGCGTTCAACTTAATGGCCGCATGGTTAACGTCTCTAAGTTACAACAAAATTAGTTTTATCAGGGCGTTTTGAGTGCAGTTGGCCGTGACGCTTTAGGTGGAATACGCTAGCCAAACGTGACAACCCTGGCAAAAGCACCACATTACCGCCCTCGACAATGCAAATTTCAGGGCGCCGAAGAATGCAAAAGCTTCGTCCTGACGTCCCTACCCCATCAGGATGAATAGTCTAGAAATATACAGCGGTCGTTATTGGCTTCTAAGAGGAGATATAACAGTGGTGTATCAGATTCCACGGAATACACATGTCACCATCCTCTGAAACATAGCCCAAACACATCACTGAGAGGTCATCAGAATAAGTTGGCCAAGCAGTACAGTCGACTAGATTGTCGAAGAACCGTTTTCTCCTACCGAGTGCCACAGCTCCGCAACGCCCTCCAGGCGCACGAAATGACAGCCCCGACATTATCTTTACTTAATACTCCTTGATGTTTTCTTGACAAAGTTACTATACATGATATAACCTATGACACCAGATGATGACATAAGAGCAGAGCAAACAATGGATGGTGTCTTAACCCTTTAAAACTCTGGCTAGGAATGCTCACACGTGTTAGCCCAAACCTCTTCGTGAGTCATGTATCCATAAGTTCGCTAACAGACACTATGTTATATTGTATATTTTTACCCTAACCATACGCTTCTCTAAACTTTTTGGTAACTTATATATATCGGGAGCATAGTTACTTATATTATTTCTTATTTAGTAATTTTCAGCATCACAATCCTACGGGACTTGTCAAGCATTTGCTTTTATACCCGTACTAAACCATTGTTCGTTGGTAGATAAGATTATGCGTAGAGGATAACGTTTTGGTAGCAAGTAAACTGCCTGACGTAGCAGATCCTCATTTATCTCACAAATTGTGGTCACCTTTATTACTGAGCAACTCTAAAACTTACCTTTTGCGTTTGGTAACCAAGAGCATATCGTTAAATAGAATGATGTAGTAGGAATTGGGTTTCCTCAAGGAAAGCTTTTGCAGGACTGACATCCGACCGTCCAGAGCAACTTCGCGAAGTTCACCCTCCTTGATTAAACGTTTATCACTAATCGCGATACACTAAGAACAAAAAGAATGGTACAATTATAAAACAAAAAGAAATTTAAACATACGTAAGGTATATAAATAGGAATTGCACAACATTTACCAAACAGGCATATTTTTGCCTAATGCCGTAGTAATTGCTTGGATCATATTCCGAGACTTTTTCGGTGTCATGATAATTTAGAAGTAGAGCAAATTGAAAACAGTTTTTAATTGGTAGGGTCACAAATTCTTACTAGTTTATGCTAAGCCAGACAGAAGCTAGCCAGTGAATATTCAGTGCATAAATAAAGCAGCTACCGGTGCCTTTAATCAATAATAAGATATATTTCTCGTGGTACCGAGAAACCGAGCATATCAGGGACGGATAATATGTACATTGTAACGTGCTCAGGCATACGACGATGTCAATTGTTTGGTTTTATACAGGGTTAAAATAAAGATGTTTTTGCGCATATTTTCATTTGGAACTTTTGTCGCCGCATACCACCAGTTCGCGGGCATTCTCATTTGATTGTTTTCGGTGCAGTTGGTTAATGTCATAATAGCTGCGGTTTGATGGGGGGGATGGAGTTTCCAAGTGATGAAACGGTTAATTTTACCAATCAAAATCAGATGAGTAATAAGCAATCATATTTAATAGACTGGTAAGACAGTTAGAGCTATATGTGAGTAGCAAGTTGGGGATCTGCGAAACTAAGGGAGAGACTATATTAAGTTAACTCCAGCGGATTAACGAACTCTAGTTGCTTTATCGGAATAATAAAGATAGTATTCACCTCGTAGCGAGTTAAGGCATAGCTTAGTGTCTAGACATTCCTTTGTCTAATTATGGAGCTGAACTAATCAAATTGTGTGTTTAGATGCTGGGTGAGCCCAGTTGCACTCTTTTCGGCGTTCACTTGTAGGCGAATATTTATGGCGTGCATGACTCTGCGTGGTAAATATAATGTTGAAAAGGGAGAATTAAACAGATAAGTAGACAAAGAACTAGGCGCGTATTCACGGCAGTCAGGACTTATTCAGTGAATGGTAGCCTTATAGACGAAGCCAAAGACAGCGTGGTTAGGAAAGTGTGCAACATTTATCCGATTCTTGGTGTAGAGTCATAGAGGAAACGCACCATAACTAAGAGCGAGGTTATGGTCTAAGGAATAATTTAATTGAAAATATCGGTAAGACAGTAGGACGGGAGTGATGAAGTAACTAGGAAGCAGTGCAGAATGAATTAGGGAAAGAAAGAGCAATTGAAATAATGCGGTCATTCGAGGAACCGTCTTTCGGGGACCTGCTTACATGCGGAGTATACCCTCCAGAGGTTTCACCCGCACATCCACGCCCTAGCTGGTCATGTATCGGTGTGGTTTAAAAGCACGCTGGCCACTACCGATGTTATTCTCCATTTGGGTAATAACGTTTTTTCTTGTGAGATGGTTACATAAACCAGTCAGCCCTTTCCTCATTCACCGTTTTTTGCGTACATCATGACCGGAATCACCGTTTGGCCTCATGTACCATTAAATGCTAGTTCAGCGGTTCAGATTTGACTTTTTGTAATTTCTGCACACTTTTTATATTCACCAGTGGGTCTTTTGACGTGGATATACATGTAAATTAGAAGATTCAAACCATCACCCTACAAGATCGGCCCAGTGGTGAGCAAAAGAATAGCAAGAGAATAAGATGACATAATTAAATTAGTGGGTATAAATATTAACGAAATAAGTAGCCAAATAGCATGTCTTGCGACATTGGAGGGTACCATATGATTGGTTTAGATAAAATATTGCATTTATAATAACAGATATCTTTATTAATATGTTGGTATCATATTTCAGTACGCACGTGGTGATGCAAATTATCCGGAAGCCATTAAACAATAGAATTTTTACAATATAGGAGAGCGATAAAGCTAGAGATACAACATTTTATTTCTCCATTTACAAGTGGGACTTCAGGGTGACATTTTCGAGCATAAATTTAAGTTATTCTGGAGTGTGGGGAACTTGCATTAGAGGTCATATATTGTTTGGATCTGTTGAAATCGACACACCTGAAGACACTTGAAGACCGAATGCTTTCATTATGCATTCTTTAACAACGGCCGACATGAGATAGAAATACTGTTCAGTGATCGCATATATCAAACGCGCCTAGTATTTCGCTATGCCAGGTAATCCACGATAAACCTGGTGTTTTCCTGAAGATACCATGTAATCCACATAACTGATACTATTGACTCTCGTGCAGGCTAAACTAGTGACTGTGTTAGCTAGTGATTCTCACTTTACATTAAGGTAACAGATATAATTTTATTAAATATCCGCTTGTTTTTGGAATGAGACGCAAATAATGATGGTGTCACATTAATGTCATATCAAATTGTTTAAAAAATCAATTTTCCCGGTCAGACCGGATTATGCTATTACACTTACCAAAAATTGGCGGTGGGTTCGCTGAACATCTTTTATCAATGTGGAGTTAAAAATAACAATCAGATAAGTGTCTCAAAATTGTGCGCGATAGTTGAAGTAAGCTAACTCAACAACCAGGAGTACCACGTGAATCAAGTTTGCCAATTTAACCTCCTCGGCTGGCTGAGTGAATTGGGCTTTTAGATGTAGATTAATCGGATGGCATGGATCCTGTATCGGGTGTATCTTTGGTCATTGAGTCATACTTGAAAAAATTGTATCCCAGTACCGTGATACACTGTGGCAGTGAAGTCCATCGTGTAAGATAGTCCATTCAATCTAGTAATTCCTACTGTAAATGTACTTCCGTCTCATGCCTAGGTCCTTCGGAGGCTACCTGCTCACTGTTGAATGGCAAGTAGCATTGCAACATTAAATGCAAGTAGCACTGTAGACATTATTAGCTGACTAAAAACCAGTCAACCAGAAAACTTTGGGGAGGAAGAGTTCCATTGATTTCTACTTCTCTGCACTGTGTATGCGCGATAAAAAATAAATTAATACTGATTAACACAAGACGGTTAGTTTTGATCGAATTTGTGCTGATCATCTGCGAAGTAAAGAAAGCGTTTTGTTAGCCGATTACCCCTAACTGCTGATAGATGACTTCAACTAGCATAAGCGATGAATGCCAAGTCTGACAGCGCTTGGTATGACACATGAAGCTACCTCTGTCACTAGTTGTTGAGGGCTTACGGCAAGTTGTCGACGCCCTTCAATATCTGCAGCGGCTTGAGACAAGGATGCCCGCTGTCACCTTTCCTCTTCAACTTCGCTGTTGACGAAGTCATGGAAATCGCGTTCACAGGACACGACTTAGAAGGTGTGGAGCTACTCCCAGGAGAACGAGTTCTTGATTTAGAGTATGCTGATGATATTGCCCTCATCTGTGACAGCTCACAAACGTGCCAAGCGGCACTGGACGGATTAGCACTAGCTGTCCGTCACTTCGGGCTTTGCTTCGCACCGTCGAAGTGCAAAGCGTTCCTCCAAGATTGGTCTGGACCGCCCCCTACGCTGACCCTTGGTGGGGATCAGCTAGAAGTCATTTAAAAATTCAATTACCTGGGAAATTGTATCAGCGCCCGTGGGATTGAAGATGAGATCACGAATCGTATAGCAAAAGCTCGGGGCGCTTTTGCTAACCTGCGCCACTTATGGCGTCGGCGCGACATCACTCTCACCCTGAAGGATAAAGTGTACAATGCAGCAGTACTTTCGACCCTACTGTACGGTTGTGAAACCTGGCCGCTTAAAGCAGCGGACCTGAAGAGGCTAGTTACATTCGACCACCGGTGCCTTCGTAATTTTGCTCACATTTGGTGGGAACACCGCGTGAGCAACGAGCGTGTTCGACTCCTTGTTTATGGCACAGGAAAAGGAAATGAACCGCTCAGCACCGTTATTTCACGCATCAGGCTCCGATGGCTTGGCCACGTGTTACGCATGCCAGCCTACCGACTCCCGCGACGTGTGTTGTTTGCGCGCAGGGGGTGTGGATGGAAGAAGAGGACGGGTGGCCAAGCGATGACTTGGTCCAGAGGAATGAAGGCCCTCACTTCGAAGATGGCCTCGGTTGGAGCGTCTCGGCTCCCTGGTTGGGGTCCGAAAGGCGATGAACACGTTTGTTTGGACACGCTGATATGGCTGGGAGCCGATCTCAGTGGCGTTCGTGCTGTGAGTTTATTTGTCCCACCCCATCCCTCTTAACCTCCCCCTCCAACCACGATCTCATTACTTAGCCTTATATAATCTTGCATAATATTTTTCTTCTTTTTGGGTGCACAGCAGCCGGCTGGTAGCTTACCGGAACGATGCTTATCCGTTACCGGTAGCTCAGCCAGCTTGCACCAGTTGCTTTTTTTTCTCCTTTTTTCTATGTATTGCGGCACAGTAGCTGAGGTGTTCCCTACCTCCAGCTAACGTGTATGATGATGATGATGATGAGTTGTTGTCGAGACCTTGGGTAAGGAATCCGTACCATAGACAGACGATGTGGTTGTTGCTATAACTGGCGAAATGCTTCTCTTAGCACGCACGAAAGGTATAATTCCAGCAATTTGAGACAGTGATGTGAGCAAAAAATAAGACGAGCATGCCGTGTCAAACTGGTCATGAAGTGTTTGTACGTAAGGCTGTGGACGACCCTACAGCCGGTACTGAAGCTGTTCACGGTGACGGTATCAAGTAAACCACATTCTAAAATCATCAACTGCTGTCATGTGACAATGTCATTCCATTCACTCTTGCTGACACTCTGACTATCCAATAGAGACTACAAGGATTTTTGATATTGTGCCAAGCGTTTATTTGGCAAATATGTTTCAGTGCATCCTAATAGCCACATCAGCAACCTATCGACACAGCCGCAGTTCCCCAACGCCTCTTAAACTATCAGGCCCGAACAGCATGGTGCCTATGCAGAGATCCATACTACTCGGTTCAGGGCGGAGATCACGCTACGGAAATTGCCACCAAGGGCCCACTTGTCTAAGTAGATCCCAACGTACTTTTGCTTATTGTTAACGTGCTCAACGCATC